TCCTCTTAAAACTTAACTTGTGAAAGCCTGATGCCGTTCAAATCTCAGTACAAACAGAAACACTAAGTTACAAGTATGCCCAGTTGGTGGGTGCTAAAGAAGATGGAATATGTATCGTGAGTTTCCCTACTACCCACAAATCATAGTAATGAATGATTCTTTTAAGGAGTTCAGACATTAATGGAGATTGATCAGATTCAATCCAACACATATAACCGGTAAATAAAAACCTTAACGAATATCAATTAGTTCACTTAACGAGTCTCTTCCGCACATAATAGAGACAAGGCTATTAAGATGCTGCTTTGTTTACAAAGGCAAATCTTGTTGGTTTACACTTCTATAAAGTTATCTATGTTTGAAAAAGAGTAGGGATGATGATTTCAAAAATTGACGGAATAAGATAAGTGATTTTATTTACTTTCTTTCTATTCAGTATATTGACTTTATCGATCAAGTAGAATAATACAGTGTTACGTATTGGCTTTATTTGGCCTTGTCGAGTAATTATAGCTTTCACTTATCCTTTCGATAGTAGTCAGATATTTTTATAAAAACAGATAAAATAATAGATAAACATGACGGTACTGAAACGCGATTATTTATATTGTATATCACAGTCCAGTCTAATGAATATCTAGCCAAAAACAATACTATCCTTCGGTATATTTTTCCTAAAATTTATTTATTGTTGTGTTTCTGTAATGAAATTCGTTATGATATTTCCTTAAAATATATAATAATATCTCATTCTAAGAAGTTTCCGTTACATCAATCATACAACTAGTTCATTTGAATTTTAAGGAAACTTTTTCAGCTCGAAAATTACTACTGATTTGTATTTACAAGTTTAATTCTCGCTAAGTGTATTGTAATCGAACCCTGTAACAGTAGACCTTGCCATGCACAGGGGAAGAAGCAAGATCTTCAAATACAACACTGAAAGCATCAACTCATTCATATTTGATGGAGAAACTCTGGAAGAGGTGGAAACGTTCACGTACCTGGACAGCATCATCAATGAAAAAGGAGGATCTGATGTAGAGGTAAAGGCGAGGATTGGCAAAGCATAAGCAGCATTCCTACAGCTGAAGAATATACAGAACTCAAAAAAATTGTAAACCAATATCAAAGTCATAATCTTGAGTACGAACATCAAGACAGTTCTACCGTATGAAGCTGAAAATTGGAGGACTATCACACCCCTCATCAAAAAAGTACAAGCATTTATAAAAAATTTTCTACGTATGATACCGAATGTCAGTTAGCCGAATACTATCAACAACAGCCTACTATGGGAGAAAACAAATTAACTTCGAGCTGAGGAGGAAATTAGGAAAAGACGTTGGAAGTGGATAAAGCATATATTACGGAAATCATTAAACTGCACTACGAGGCAAGCCCTAAATTGGAATTCTGAAGGAAAGGTCTGAGAACACACTACGTCAGGAATTGGAAGCAAGCATGAAAAAAGTGAATAGCAACTGGGAAGAACTAGAAAAGATTTCTAAAGACTTATTTAGTTGGTGAATGCTGATGAGGGGCCTATACTCCTCCATGAGGGGTAACAGGCGTATGTAAGTGTATTGTGATACTGAACAACGTGTTGTCATTTCCGTTGCAATAATATTTTTGATTGAATTTAGACCATTTAGGAAGATGCAACAATTCCTTTTTTACATATCGACTTTTTAGTTATCCTTCTATCTGACCTTGATGTTCAGTTTTCTTAGTATTTTTTTTCTGTTTTGAGTAAAACAATTAATTTATAATTTTAAAAATGTGAAGCTATTTCGCACGAATTAAGATTTTTTTATTTTCCCTATTAACCATAAACTAGTCACTATAACATAATGCACTTAGACTTGTCACTATGTATTAAGAATAATGAAAATATCACTTTGTTAATGTTGTACTTTTGAAGAAACGTTGATTGTACAGTCAATCTAATGTATCAATGATAATCTTAGCTACTATTCATGAGGGATACTGAATATTAGATTTATTAGTTTATGTACTCCTATGAAGTATGTTGCATTGGTGGCAAAAACATGTTCTTTCCAGACATATATTCAAACATTTCCCAGTATGGCTATCTTAAGGTTAATTCAAATCAGTCAGAAATTGTATTGGAGATCGTCGCACAATATCGTAGGTTGATTGCATTCAGACTTGAACACTATTGAACTACTGGCTCAGTGGTCTACTGTACTGAAGGTCCTGGGCTTGAGTCCTGCGTTCAGAATCGTGGATGAGCACTGCCGAAGTGTCCCGTACTAGGACGAAATGGCCATCCAGTACTTCCAGATATTCAATGATGGTCTTACATTGATCGGTTCATGATCTCAATTTTAATAATTTTATCATTGAAAATCCATTTAATTTTGCTTTTCTATCATTTTGCAAGAATATTCAGTCGAAATTATCCAGAAATTCAGATAAATTTACTAAAAGGGAGGTTGTACAAGAAATTTATATGTAGTATGGTCTTCAAGAATTCAAACTCAATCTTTTCTTGATGTTCATAAGCGGTATATCTCATCCTTTATTTTAGCACATTAGTAACATCCATCTACTTATTTTGCATGTTGTTTTTGATAAGTATTCATACCTTCATTGTCCTTTTTATATTCACCATATGGACATTTATTTTTCACGTCACTCTTCTAAATGTTATTTCAATTATAATTACCGCTTGTCTAATACGTAACTTTGTTCAGGACTTTACACTTTTAATTACCTTTTGGTATCTTTAGTAATGACATAATAATTTTTCACATGAATATCGACTACTGTATGTATGGATTGGTTGAAGTTAGAAATTAACACCGTTGGATGCGGGCTCAATGGTCTAGAGATTAAGTCTTTGCGAGCGAGACCGATAGGTTCTGGATTCGAATCTCACGAGACAGGATCGTAGATGCGTACTGCTGAGTCGCCGTTCAATGATTCCAAGTTTCCTATGTTGGTCTAGCTTTGATTAACTCATGGTCTCAACTATTGAAATTATTGTATGTCAAACAATAATAAATAAGATTGTACAGGTTTAGTGAATTACATCATTCAAAAGAAAATTTTGTTTGTCAAACTATTGTAATTTATGTTCTGTCAAATAGATGTTCATATCAACTAAATCAAGTAAGATATTTGATTTTAACCATTCAATATCTAATCCCTGAACCTTAAAAATTAAGTACTTTCATAGTATTTAATGCATTATTTTCTACAGAAAAAAAAAAGGGAGATTTTGACTGTTTAGACAAACCCGTTGTTTTAGCATCCCTCAAAATATCCTCAACTATCACTTTGTGTTCCATTGGAGTTTGAACCCATATTGCTGTAACTAGTTGTATTACCGAAGAAATATCAACTGTAAAGATTATAAAAGATGTTTCGTTGAGCTAACAATTCAGAAACATGATGAAATGCGTTTTCTAGATCCTATTATTATCCGTGATCTATCTGTTGTGTAAAACCTTTGACAAAGTAACAATAATGAAGTAGTTCAATTAGGATCGAAAATTCGACCAAGTTCTTCAACAGCATAATGATTTAAAATCCTTTGTTTTTAAAAAAGTTGAATTATAATTAAAGATGGATAATGGCTAGTAGTGGAATCCAGAACGCGCGTTTCGTCCTATCTGTAGCTCGTCATCTGAATGTACCTGCATTTTAGAGTTGATGTTCACTCTGGATTCCACTGTTAGCCACTACGTATTTTTGCTTATAAAGCTTTTGAAGTAAGGTAATAATGCAAAGGATGCACATATGGTTATAATAAGAAATTGATCACTTACACTCTTAAACCTCAATGGGAATATTCAAGTGTTGTAACGTGTGACTGCAGGTTAGATGGAGCAGCGTATTTATCGATCGATCACAGTAACATGGAAACACGTAATGGACGACCTATAGTCCCGGTTGGCCCTGCTTCTCTGTCTATCCCAGCCGGTTGAGTCCAGAACGAAAGTCACGGCCTCTGAGATATGAATCATTATATTTCAAACACACTCTGTTTATATACTAACCAAGCAGACCACATCGTACCATAAAAATAGAAAACAACATTTACACAATATTAAACAAGTGAAGTAAATATTGACCAATAGGAAATATACATTTAACGTCCAAGGACAGCATTCGACTTAACATGATAACTATTGGTATATTTTTCTGCACATCCTAACATCAAGCAAACAATGTCAAGTGAATTCAGATTATAATTATTTATTTTAAATCTTTTCACTAGTTAGTTAAGTCGTTATACAATTCAGTATTCATCAATAATCAAATGACTATATTATTCTATTACTATTTCACTAACTAGTTGATTAAATTGTATACATTTTATAGACAGATTATTAATTGAACTGTTTATGTTTTTATAAGCAAAGATGGATAGTAGTTAACAGTGGAATCCAAGATGCGTGTTTCATCCTATTTCGAACTCGTCAGCTAGACATACTCAAATCTCAGAGTTGATGTTCATTCTAGAACTCGAATCCATTACCGTTCACTTTAAACAATGGGAAAATACAAGTTAACAACCCTAAGTGAATGTTTGCACTTTTCCTCTTTCTTTTTAAAAAAACTTATTTCAGGCCCATTTTTTTCACATTTAAGAGACTTTCATTATTTATTTATAAAATCATTTACATTTATTATATAACAATTCTAAACAATATAAATGACAAATAATTAATATTGAATTATTGTACATTACATAGTAACTCAATATTTCATTTAACAACAAATAAATAAATAATAATTCGGTTTCTTGATGACAAAAATCAACGAAAATAAAAATAGAACAAAACAAACAAATAAACGAACAAAAAAAGGGGAGGTGAAGAAATATAAAAGAAAAAAATCAATAAAAAACAGATGATGACACTCATATTGAAAAAAAATAAAGAAATAGCATAACAACAATTTATTGATTAACATTAATATTATTATTACTATTATTAGTAGTAGTAGCAATAGTAATAGTAGTAGTATTATTCATTTCTTTTAAAAATTTTATACCATATATACTTTATCATAATTTTTATATCATTTCTTATACTAATAGCACCTAACATTAATACATAACTAATTATTGATTGTATAATCCAATATAATATAGACATTAAATTAAATAAATTATCATTCCAATGATTATTAATTTTTGCTATTAAAAAACAACAATAATCATGATAAATTAAACCAAATAAAAATAATGATAATAAATTAATTAAATATAAAATAGCACAAATTAACATCATTTTAGCTACAATAATTCTAGCTGATATATTATATATAATTAATTTGATAAATATTGATTGTTTTTTATTAGAATATTGAATGAAATTATTATAATTTAATTGATTTTTAATTAATTGATTATGTATCATAGATAAATTGGATGTTTGTTTTTTGATTGATTTATTCATTGTTATTGAATAATTATTTGAAATGAATGTTTTTATATTAAATTTATTATTTAATTTCCATTTAATTAATACAATTATCATAATAATTGTTGATATAGTAACAATTAATACTGGTATAATAAATGTAATTGAAAATTTGATTATATTAATAAAATTATTTCTAAATATACCAGAACATATTGGTTGTTTTGTAATAAATAAAAAGATATTTGATATAATACTTATAATATAAATAAAAAATATCATTATTAATATTGGTTTTATAGAATTATGATTTATACTATATAATTTTTTAGGATATAATGTTATATAACAACGTTCAATACATAAACATACAAAATGCCAACCAGATATATCACAACTTATAAATGATAAAAATATTTGTATTCTACATAACCAATCATTAGTTAATAAACGTAAATCATTACCAGTTATTGATAAATAAATTAATCTTATTAAATCAAAACAACCTAATATATTAATTATTTCCATTGATAATATAATAATTTGTGTAGACATTCTTAATGAACATATTGGCCATGTTAAATGTTGTTTACATAATTTTATAGAATTACTTTGTTGTTCTTGTTGTTGTTGTTGTTGTGGTTGTTGTTGTGCAGTTACATTATTTGTACTTGTTGAATAAGGTGTCCTAGATGAATATTGATTAATTTCTTTTCTTTGTTGTATATATTTTAATTTACGTATTATTCTCCAACCTATAATATATGCAATCCATAATATTGCTGCTATAATATGTGATAATATTGATAAGATTCCTATACATCCAATAATAATACGAATAATTTGATAATTATTATAATAATACATGATTCTATTTTAATATAAATTAGTCAATTCAATAGGTACTATCAATCTTTAGCTAATTATCATTTAGAATAGATAAATGAAAGATTATTAATAATGAATGAATTGTCATAAATCATTTTTATTTTATAAATATTTGATTTATTTAAAAGGGGAATACTAATAAAATATAAATATATAATTATCCTATCAAATTAAATGAATCTACTATACAGGGATTGGATAAGACTTATTTATACAAAAAACTTTCATTGCTCAAATGATCTTTATTGAAAGATTCATAATCTAAACAGAATACATATGTATATTATATAGGACAGATGATTAGATAGGTTTCCCTTAGTTCATCATTACAATGATTCTCCTACGATGTAAAACAACCAACCAAACAACATAATCATACTTATTGATTAATTTTTCCTATTTGATACTAAATACAACAATTTAAAAAAAAAACTTTTTTTCTTTAACTAAAATAAAACAAAAAACATTATTTTGTTACAATAAATAAATAAATAATAAAAAGGAAATGAATTCAATTGTTCATAGGCATGGCGTTAATTTCATTCTCTGTATATGGATATGCTTCTTTCTTATGTAAATCATTTCAATAAATTAATGAATTGAATTCATTAGTATTGCTTTTATAAATATAAACAAAAATAACGATACTTTTTCTTCTTTTTCTTTTTCTTCTTTTTTCTTCTTTTTTCTCTTTTTCTTGTTTTTCTTTTTGCTATTTTTCTTTTTGTTCTTTTTCTTTCATTATTATTATTTGAATCATAGAAGCAAAACGTATAATAATATTTTTATATATGTAGAAACTAATAATTTTGTAGGTTAATTTTAATATCAAAATAAATTTTACAACGTATATTAAAAAAGATACTTTACTACTTTTGTTTTGTTGTCATTTTTTACTTTCTTTTAAGAAAAAACTGGGAATAGCTAATAAATTATAAACTGAAATTAATTGGGAAATAAATCAATAACAGAAAGGATTGAGTAATTGTTTTATATTCTAGTTTTGAAACACTAAAACAGATAGTGTTTTTGAAGTGAATGGTATTGGATTCGAGTTATAGAGTGAATATCAAAACTGGGATGCAAGTATATCCAGTTAATGAGTCTCAAATAGGATGAGACGCGCCTCCTGGATTTCGTTGCTAGACACTATCTATATTTTCATAAACATAGTTCCCTTTATTATCTTAAAGAGAGCAAGAACAAAGATTAGTGCAGAATAATATGAATTCATTTTGATCAAATTAAAGAGCTGCACCTAGTTAGCGAAGAAAAGAAAGGCTGATTTAAATCTAAACTAGTCGATATTCCAAACCAATATATTGTTTCACTCACATCACAATCTAAGCTTTTATCTAAAGACCACCAAGCAGCATTACGAAATATTAAGTGAAATGATGATATAATGACACTACGGTTAGATAAAGGCTCAAGTGTTGTCCTAATGAACAAAACACATTATGTTTCCAAGATGAAGTTCATCTTGAGTGACCGCATAAGATTCAAGCTAGAAAAAAGTAACAAAGAATATCTGATTCCACTGAGAAAAGAATCACCAAAGTACTCATTATGAGAACTTAATGAAATAAAATGAATTCATATTATTCTTCACTAATCTTTGTTCTTGCTCTATCTATATTTGTTTATAATACTTGTGAATTAATGTAGTAACGAGGCAATACGAATAGGATACACATATGTCAACAAGAGACTGATCAATTGCAGTCTTGAACATCATTAGAAAGATTCAAACAGACAATACCAAGTGAATTTATATTCGTTTTCTCAATAAAAATAGCTAACAAATAATAGACGGAAATTACTTAAGAAATGAATGAATAACCGTAAGGATTGGATAATTAATTTATATTCTAGTTTTAAAACACTGAAGCATTGAATGCTTAGAGTTGCATAGAAGAGATTTAATAGTAAAAAAACTTTAGTTGAGAAATTATACTTCTGACTAAGACTAAATGGGCTGCGTGAATATCTGGGCTATTTGTTCCTGACATTTACATATTTCAACAAGTTATCTGTTTCATTATTTGTTTTAACATATCATTATGCCTATTGGTTTGATAACCTATCCAGGTGCGTTTGTGAAAAGTTCACGACATTTCACTGTACAAGTTACAAAAAAGCCAAATCAGAGACATCATGGTTGTTGGCAATATACATCGAAACGAATATACATTATTCACAAGTCGATTCTTAAACTGCTAACATCGAACTAGCGACCACTGAATATTTATCACAAACATCAATCAAGAAATAAGAAATGGAAACTCGCTGAAATAATATGTGCTGAGAATTCTATATTGTACTAAAAATATCATATTGAATAAAGTCACTAATAACAGTAATATTCAACTCATAAGTAAGCTATTGATATACATTAGGTATGTAATTGGATTTGTCAAATCTGATAATTTTTCATTAACAGATTGATAATAAATTTCTGTCTTCATAAATTATTATATATAGTCACTATTCACGGATCTGATGATGACTTACATTATTAAATGATCATTTAATGATAATATCTTAGTTCAACTGGAGATTACTCATACCTGAAAGGTTAACATCATTGACTAACAAAAGTTTGTACTATCAAAATCAATATGAATATAAATATACCAGAAGTCAATACACAATTAGTAGGATGGGTATACATCAACATTCATCACAAATAAATGATCAGTTAATGATGAATAAAAGTAACTTTACAGGATGTGGCATAAGAGCAATACTTCCCTTATTACTGTTCATTATCGTTAGTTTATAAAATCAAAAAATATAATATATGAATATCCGAATTTGTTATTCTTCGTATTAATTTATTTTGGTATAGAATGAAAGAAAACAAAGATAATCGTTTTAAAATGTACAGTTTGTTTTTTCAAAGAAATTTAATTGTTATCAGAAGGGGTTTTATGGAGATTTTAGTAATTTTATAGTTCAATTCATGGATCAATTAATGATAGACAATCACGGAAAATCTAAAAGCACTGGACGGCCATTTCGTCATAGTATGAGACTCATCAGAAGTGTGCATCCACGATCCCACATCGCGAGACTCGAATCCAGGACCTATCAGACTCATGCGCGAACGCTAAACCACTAGACCACCGAGTCGGCTGCCATCCAACGGTGTTAATGTCTAAATTCAACTAATCCACGAAATTGAATAACACATCCATCATTGTCATCAGTAAGTTACTATCTCACTACAGACCTGGTTGAAGTCAACTGGTCACAGATTCTCACTAGAGCTTCAGGTAATATCTGTTAAAGCCAGTCACTAGTAAGTATACAATGCCAAGGTACTATTTTTAAAAGACTTATATGACACTATTAGAATCATAATTCAAGAATAAAACTCTTTACCAAGGATTGTGTAAAAAAGAAAAAAATAAATTCGTCTTTATACTACGCTTACTTACATGATTTACAAGAAAAAGCGAAATTATATTCATTTCTTTGAATGCATGTTTTTCCCCTGTTCTCATTTACGAAAATCTCCATAAAACCCTCTTCTGATAATAATCATCATCTACTCACTAGTGACTGGCTTTAACAGATATTACCTGAAGCTCTAGTGAGAATCTGTGACTAGTGAACTTCAACCAGGTCTGTAGTGAGATAGTAAATCACTGATGACAATGATGGATGTGTTATTCAATTTCGTGGATTAGTTGAATTTAGACATTAACACCGTTGGATGGCAGCCGACTCGGTGGTCTAGTGGTTTAGCGTTCGCGCATGAGTCTGATAGGTCCTGGATTCGAATCTCGCGATGTGGGATCGTGGATGCACACTTCTGATGAGTCTCATACTATGACGAAATGGCCGTCCAGCACTTCCACGTTTTCCATGAATTCAACTAAAAATAATTTAATTGTCCTAATTCATGTAATATTATTCTTTTTACCGATAAAAAGCAACAGAACATTAGGTGAAGGAATAGCGGTGAAAAATACAGCAACGTGACATTATAATCCAATGTATGAAATGTTCCGAGATTTATTTTTTATGGTTTCTTCACTTTAGGATATTACATTATTTTCGATAATTTAACTTAATAATTCACTATAATCCGTACACTTATCATTAAACATTGATTTATATGAAAAAAGAGCACGATTCATCCATATTAAGTTATATATATATATATATATATATATATATATATATATATATATATATATATATATATATATATATATATATATATATATATATATATATATATATATATTTATGTTTCAGTAAACAGCTGAACTTCAATAGCCTCGTAAACACTCCCCTTAGATAATATTAGTGTTTACTGTTATTATGTAATGTGTTTGCCGTCTAACTTATTATTGTGCCTTATCAGTTCTAATTTATTAGAATATTATACTTTGTTTACGTCCGTTTTTGAGTAGATAAGTTATTAAACATAAATCATAAAGAAAAAAAATGAAACAATCTAAATAATCTCTAGTCTACAGGTAAATCAATTGAATTATTGAGGTATAAATTATAGTTAAAAGGAATTGGTGTTAGTGAGTTCAATTAATCTTTAAGTAGCTGTATGAATAAACATGTAATGAATGAACATTCAGGTGGGGAAGACAAGTTTCATTGTTCTTTCATTCCTATTGTTATCTTGATGGTTTTCAGTTTTCATTTCTCTCCTCTTTATTTCAATATTCTCAAGCTTCTGCTCGCAGACATTCTACTTCCGATTGTGCTTACATACTACTTATATCTGCCAACATAAGAACATATACCACAAATATATTGAGTGCTATTTTATGGAACGTTATGTAGAATAATCGATGAAGGGATTCGTCAAATCTTAATTAAATTTTTATCGTTTCAGTCCCGAGTTGATTTTATTTAGACAAACATTGAAGGTCAGAAAGGCCTACAAAACTGTTTCATCGTAGTATGGAACTTCTCAACAGTGAGCATCCACAATTCCACCACCAGAG